AGTCAGCTTATTGCCCCCACAAACCGGGTCCTCATTTTACCTACCTCGAAAGGATGGAAGGCTGAGTCAACCTTGAGCCTGGTGAGATTTGAACTTGCAGTAATTACAGGCGGCTGGTGTTACTAAACAGTGCTTTAGTCTGCTGCACCACGAAGGCTCATACTCCAGTGCGTCTTATAGTCCAAAAAATACGGTACCTGTCAACTTTGGCTGAACTGAAACTGAATATTTAGCACTGTCCCTGATACTGAATGCATTTCATGGCCTGTGCCACAAATACATTCACGGAGTTCCATGAAAAGTTTTTTTTTTTTTTTACTTTTTCACATTTTCTGTCTTTCTGGTTACATTATTTTGTCTGTTTTCTAGCAAGAAATGTGGAGCAGGATTGGCCATTCATTATTATAATTAAATAATACATTGGTGTTGTTTATTCATTCAGAGCTCTTTAATATACAAATACTGTAGGAGCCCAATGAAGCTCTGATGGTAACAATCAGTGACAAAAATATGCAAAAATTCAGAAAATTTGAAAAGGATGGCCGTGCTAGGTGGTAGAATTTAGTAACTCCCAGTTTATATGCAATAGATGAGAATATTTGTACCTTAGGGGGGTCCTTGGCCGTCTGTGAGGTTGGTGGTTTTCTTGTAGACGTTTTGTCACCCAACTAGGTAACATCATCAGTGCATAACCAAACTCAGAGAGCACCCAAGGGCCCCATAATGTGTATCCTGCTGTCCTAGACATCTCTTCACCTCAGCCTAAACTTGGAAATTTCCAGAGAAAAAGTGAAAACTGAAACAACGGTAGCATCCGTCAAAATTTGTCTTGGTCAAAATAGGTAACCTAGTGAAAAAATTTTCATTAGGATTGTGATCTTCTTTCTGTGTGCTGCTAATTAAGTTTTATTCTGTACGGATTATACACCACCATCTTGAATCTTTACTTCAGCCTACCTTGCAGAAAATATTTTGACTTCTTTCAGCCTTTTTTGGGGGTGGGGAGGAGAGTTCCACTGTTAATAGCAGACCATTGCCATCTTGTGGTCAGCTGGGAACAGAGAGTTTTCTTTTTCAACTAAGATGCTGCTTTCCCATAATCTAAATCAGGGGTTTCCAACCTTGGCAACTTTAAGACTTGTGGACTTCAAATTCTAGAATTCTAGGATTTGAAGTCCACAAGTCTTAAAGTTGCCAAGGTTGGAGACTCCTGATCTAAACAACTCCATTTACCTCCACTGCTAATGGAAAAGCTTTTTAAATATTCCTCCTGTTTAAAATAAAAGTTTGCTTATCTCTCCTAAAATGGATTTATCGGAAGGGCAGGAAAAAGAAGAGCCGAATCTTCTAGCCACGTTCCTCCCTCATTGGGATTAGGAAGAAAAGCAATAGATGAGAGGCTCCCCTCTTGGAGAAATTGGTAGCAGGAACTACTAAGCCACTTCCCCATATTGGGAAGAACTGAAGGGCTTCTGTTGGAGCATTTGTGAGATATAGGCAGTCCTTGATTTACGACTGGTCACTTACCAACCATTCAAAATTATGACAGGTCTACCTTCAAGCGACTTACGACCTGGATTGAACGTTCCAACAGTCAGAGCCCCTCCACGGTCACCTGACCAAAACTCTGGTGCTAGGCAACAAGAGCTGCATTTATGGCTATTTGCAGCATCCTGCAGTCACGTGATCACAATTTTACAAGTTTTGCCGAACACTGGTATTTACTTCTGGTTTTCAGCAGAGCCATGCCATACATCGCAAGCAATGGCTTTGCTTAAGGCCTGGGGTTCGTTTAATGCTTGTCATATTCCCTTCACAACTGCCACAGAAAAAGAATGTAAAATCAACTGTCGTAACTTACAACTGTAACGGGCATGTCTCATTATGGTTCTTTGTCGAGGACTACTCGTGCCATTGGGTACAACCAATCCAGAACGTATCAGTTTTTCTCCTGATGTGGCTCATTATCCTCTCACTGCATATTTAAGTTAGGAACTCCTCTAATTTTACACAAGTACCATATTTTTCGGAGTATAAAATGCACCTTTCCCCCCCCAAAAGGGTTGAAAATTTGGGTGTGTCTTATAATCCAAATGTAGCTTTTAAGCTTTTTTTTCAGCCCTAACAAGGCGCTAATTAGGCATTAACAAGCGATCTTCCCAGCTTTGCCTGCTCCCTCGACTCTCTGCTGTGCTTTAACCAGGCGCTAGCGAGTGAAGCAATCTCCATGCTTTGCTCCAACTCTCAGCTGTTCTTTAGCTTTTTTTCAGCCCTAACTAGGCGCTAGCCAAGTGAAGCTATCTCCGCCCCCACCCCACCCCACTTTGCCTGCTTTTCTCATTGCTGCTTCTTCTCAGCTGTGCCTTAGAAGCTATTTGTTAGCCCCAAGCAGGGGATAAAAACCCAGCAAACTAATGTGCTGAAGCTGACCAGACTAAGGACGCTAGCCAGATGAATACCTGATAGGCAGATTCCCCCCCCCAATTTTCCTCCCCAAAAACTAAGCTGTGTCTTATACTCCAGTGCATCTTATACTCTGAAAAATACGGTATGTCCCAGCATCTCTTCTGCTATGACTATGGTTGGATATAAACATTTGGGCATTGAATTACATAACAATATAGGGTAGTGGTCTCCAGCCTTTCCGGCTCGGCGGACTGGCCAAAGCAGCAGAGAAGCAGGGGGAATTGTTTCACACACATGCCATTTTCACAAATGCAGCTTTCCACGCACACACTTCCACAGCGCAGTTCCGAACTGGCCGTGACACAGCACCAAACCGCGGACCGGGGGTTGGGGACCCCTCATAAAGGGGACTAAATAGGTTATGATTCAAACAAAAATAGGTAAGGAAACTTAGTTGACAAGACCAAGCTACAATGATAAATGGGTTTTCTTGTTCGTCCGTAGAATTTCTAAATTAAGACGCCTATATAGCTATTTACTATTGAAAATGTGACAAAAGTAAGCGTTACTAAATAAGAACATTATTCTTCCTTGCCATCTTAAAAGGTTTTTTTCATTAATAAACCAGCGGATTTTGAAAGTAATGTATTTCATATTTAGGATCTGAAAACATCTCGAGGTTTGCTGGAGGAAATGAAAAAAGCTACTAACGGCAATGTTCAACAGGTAAAGTAATGGTTGTCTGGACCGCGTCACAAGTAACTGCTCCAGAGAATTGGCTTCCATCATTTGTCAAAGTTTAGTTTTATGAATTAGGTTAGCTGATGTCAACTGCCCCATGCTGGTTGAATCTGAAAGAGGGCTGACTCATTCCTTTAATGATGATTTGTGGGATGTGTAGCCTAGGCCGTTCAAGTCTGGCCCGAGGGACTCAAAGGTGAAGGCGGCGACGTTCTCAACCAAAGCTGAGTTGGCCAGCACACTAAAGATGATCTTTAATGCGAATGGAGGGAAAACCTGCAATAGATGGAATGGTCCAGGAATGGATGTATCGGAGCAACTGCCAAATGCATCTCTGTCAGTTGACTGAGTCAAAAAACTGGGGCCGATGGAGGCGCATGGAGATGTGGCCAAAAAAAAATTATGACTCAGTCTCCAGGCAGATCCAACTGTATTAACCCATTCCTGTATCATTCCGCAGCCTATTGGGAGAAAAGCTACTAACAGCAATGTTCAACAGGTAAAGTAATCGTTGTCTGGACCTCGTCACAAGTAACTGCTCCAGAGAATTGGCTTCCATCATTTGTCAAAGTTTGGCTTTATGAATTAGGTTAGCTGATGTTGACTGCCCCACGCTGGTTGAATCTGAAAGAGGGCTGACTCATCCCTTTAATGATGATTTGTGGGATGTATCTTGAATGTGGCTACACAGTCCTTGTTCATTGCCTAGCGGAAGCCTTGCTGATTTTAGGGGTTATTTTTCTTAAGAAAAGCCCACAATTAGGAAGAACTATTTCAACATCTAACGTATGTTCTCAAACTGCAATATGTCTTAAGTGTTTGTTTTATTCAGGTATTTCTATTTTTAATATTTAATATTTTTAATGTTTAACATTTTCTGTTGCTTATTTGCAGGTCATTGATTGGGTTTTAGAAAAGAACAAGGATCAGTGACATAAGTGCAGCCACACTCTGAGAACAACTTGAAGTGTCTTGTTGGTAGATATGTCTAAAGCTTGGCAGTAACTGCTACGCGATGCTTTCAAACCTCTGAGATCATTAAATTGAAGTTATTTGTGTTGTAAAAAGTTTTCACTAGAATAAAAATAATTTCTTAAAGCTGTCTTTCCGGTCTGCATGATTTGAACGTTGCTTAGCTCTGTAAACGTAAATTCTTTATTATATTCAAATGTGCAGAATGTCCGGTTAAATTAGTTAATGGTTTCTTTAAATAAACTTGAAAGTATTGCTTAGCAAGTACTTTTAAAAACCAGGCATTTCAACCATTTTAAAGGTGAGGGACACATGGAATTCTAGGGATAATACCACGACTGTCAGGAAAAACTACTTTTGAGAGTGGTTGCAGGTCACAGCTCACTCACTTTACGAGACAGTAAACTATCCAGATTAAAAGGTAAGAAACTTTATCAAGATCTTAGAAAAAAAGGAAGAATAATTGAAAACATGAAGCATTTAAATTCAGTTCTTTCACTGAGTTGTTCGCTACGTCTCATTCCAACCTTCAAAGTATAATTCTGACTAGTGCTCTGTTCAATAGACCAGGATGTTTTGCCATCCTTGAATGTATAGATTCAATATATACAGATTTATATATTTGTGTGAAATGCCAGGAGATTGATACTCCTTTCCGTGAACTAAACTATTGAACAATAGTAGTTTAGTAAGAGTTGGGAATGACTAGCACATAGGGGAACCTTTACCTTTACCTTTTAGTTTAGTAAGAGAACTTACCTGGAAGAATTATTGCCATCCTGTAAAATCAGTACTTCACTGTTTTATACAAATTTTAGTAGGCTGAAACTGTTGAACAAAAATCGATGGCTTTCAAATAAATTATCACTTCACCAAAAAAATCCAATAAATGACACTTTATTAAATATAGTCATTTTTTTCTCCCTCTTGAAAATATAAATATTGTAGATTAAATTCTTATAAATCTGGGGTAGTTCCATTTAATTCATTCTATCAATCCCATCTAAAGTAACGGCGTCTAGAGTCATTCAAAATCTGTATTTGACTATAAATATATATATTTATATTTCTTTTTGCAAATTAGTTATTCACTTCTTCATGTTGTGATTTGAGCACCGTACAATATGTGATATAACTAATGAATTAATCCTGATTATATACAAAGCAGATATAGTTATAATATTCCAGTGGAGAGGTGTTAGGTATTGAAAGTAGCAGTACAATAGAATTCACATATGCATGAACGTTTCCTAAAATACATAATATTCTACTTTATGCTCTGGCTTTTGCTCATTCACAATAATAAATACTGCCATGGAAGGAACTTGAAAATCCTGCTACATTGGAAAGGGTTATTTGAGATTCCTTATTTCTTCTCTCCACAAAATGCCGTTTAAATCACAAATTTTGTAGGTCATCCTTTCATGGACAGACACAAACCAATGGAAATTCCATATCTGCAAAAATATATTTATTTTAAAGTAGAGAGACCTCTGGGATATATATGATATATATTTAAAGCTCCAAATGAAATAAAAATGGAAGCTTAGGCACAAATTGGGCACATGGTGATAACGTAGGCTCAAAATCAAGCAGCTTTTTATTAAGTTAATTTTATATTACTAACAAAATACTAGGAAAGAAATTATAGATATTCCATGCCAATCAGTTATCTTATAGAACTACCCAAAGACTTCTGCGTATGTAAAATCTTAGCCATAGCTAACAGCTCAATCTTGGAGTTTTTTTAATTTCCAACCTCCTTTCAAATATTCCCTAAGTTTACCTTAATCACATTTAAGAATTAACAGGACGGTCTTTATGAATCCTATTTATTCTCCCAATCAAATTACCTTGAAACCTAGATTAATTACTTCAGGGACGATGTAGTGCTGCAGAGAATTTTCTTCAAATGCAACTGAAAGCAAGCATAACTTAGATATTTACACTTCGCTTCCAGTTTTTGCTATCCTCATAACAATTTATTTATTTGTAATCAGTAGCAGGGAAATAGCATGGATTCAGGTTGAGAATTCAGGGGTATTTTCCCAACTGACCACATATATCTAAGCAACCCTAAAAAACACTTATTTACTATGGCCCATTAAAAAAAAAAAAAAAGCACAATTGAGTTAATTTGTGTCTCTGGGCATCCATATAGCAAACAAGTTTTCTTTATTTGGCCTTTTGATGTAGCCATTAAGTTTTTACTATGGATGTATCTGACAGTCATTTAGCCGGTTATTAAAGAGGCAAAGCAGGGTTGGACGTGGCTTGTACCTGGGTGGAAAAAAAACATAAATATAGCTGGGGATCAGACAGGTGAAAACATCTGAGAAGACAACAGTTCAGGTAGTCCTTGACTTATGACCGTAATGGAGCCTGCCCATCATAAGTGTACTGTAAGTCATGATGATGGTAACGTGAGTCATCTATACGACCAACTCGATTTTGTAAGTTTTGTGGCTGTTTAGCGACTGCAAATGTTGCGAAGCGATGTTTTGCTGTGGGTCAGTTTTGCTAAAAAAAATGGAATGCCGGTTTTCAGCAAAAGCATTGTAAAATGTGACCACGTGACCATGGGATGCTGCAAACGGCCTTAATTACAGCTTGACTGCAGAGTGCCTGAAGTGCAGTCATGTGGCTGCTGGGGAGAAGGTCATTAGAACTTCAGAACGGGGTCATGTGTGCCCCTGGTCGTAAGCCGAGGACTACCTGTACATCATGTCTATGTTGCAGCCAAGATGAATCCTTGGATGTATCTATGAAGTTGAGGGCAACTTTAAGGAGACTTTAGTTTTATAGACCATATGAAAATAGTGTTAAAGTGACTCTTCAACAGCAGTTCAGTCTGCTGCTGCTGTGATGGGATTGCCCTTGTTCTCCAGAACGAGATGGAAAGGAAAGATCCTTGATGTGTCTTGGGTTTTAATCCAGTGAATGCCAGTCACCAGGATGAAGCGCTGCTGCTTAGATTTTAGCCTATGCCAAGTTTCAGAGCTCCCAAGCTACAGACCACAATGTTCAGATGCCCCGCCCCTGGCTGACGGCCACAATACAAAATTTAAGATCTCAACTAGTTAAGTCTTGAGCAGCTTTGGGATTCTTCTAGTTAAACATGGTTAAGGGCACCCAAAGGTGCTTTTTCAAGAGGCAAACTGAACTTTTCTCTGAAGACATTTCGTTTCTCATCCAAGAAGCTGCTTCAGCTCGGACAACCATGACCTGGATGACTTGAGAAGCTCCACAGACATTGTTAAGGGCAGTTGATCAAAATCTTGAAAATGACCGTATCTCCTTTCCTTGGTGGAATATGCAGAGTATGGGTGGTAGGGAAGAGACTAGATCACACAACTTATTTCTCTCCTCCTTGATGTAAAGCCACGAGAAAAAGAAGACCTTGGAAGGCACAGAAGGTTCTCTTCCTTGCTTAGGTGAGGTCTCCAAAACATCGGTAGAAAAGATACCCCATGGTATTGCTGATTTTTGCAAGTTGGATCAGAGTGCCTAATAAAGGACAGCACAACCTATTTTCTGAGCTTTAATAGCCACTTGTTGCTTCCTCTCTGCACTAGGTGATTTTTGTATGGATCTTCTAGCTGAGATCAATGTTCCTCTTCTTCACCTTGTTCCTAGGTTTTTCAACACGGCTGATCGCCATGGCTTGTGCCCTAAATTACTCAAGACTTCATGGGCAGCACTTCTGTATCCTTTCTATCCATACTTCTTCAGCATCCTCCTCTGTCTCCTGGTGGCTGCTTCCACCTTCTTCCTCAACGCAAAACTTTCTCCTTTGCTTTAGAAGGGCCTCTAGAGCCAAATGTTGCAAAGGGGTTTGGTTGCAAAGCACAGGAAAATGACAAGCCACAAAACGAATGAGTCAAAATTCCACTTGACCGCATCACATACGAACTAAAAGTTCAGCCAACTTGGGACTCATTTGAAATGCACTTCCTCTTTTCAAGATGTTTTAAGATGTTTTATTGTTTCCATCGCTTTTACTGTACTTCCACCGTAATGTTTCAAAATGCATTATGTACGCCAGATTCCACCTCCTTCCCCTTCACAACTTATAATCGTTAACGGAACACTTGCAATCTTATAAAACTTACGTTATTGGGACGTCATCAATTGAATGGGCTTTGTTTTTTTCCCCAGCAAATTCTCCAATGTGTCCTGTGTCTAGGTTATCTATAGAGATATTTTTGAGATCTTGCCCCAAGTGTGTCCACTCAAAAGTTCCTTTTTATGGCTGGTTTGATCAGTCAGAAAACTCAGTCTGCCTACAGCAGGATTTGCCAAACCTGACATCTTTAAGACATGTGGACTTCAACTCCCAGAATTCCCCAGCCCCAGGGAATTCTAGGAGTTGAAACCCATGTGTCTTAAAGTTGCCAAGGATGGGAAATCCTTGACCTACAGCAACTTGAGCTCTGCCCATGTGACTTATACAGATTGATGTGCTTATTAATGGAAAAAAAAATTAGAGCGGATCGCACATCCATCTCATCTCTCAACAACCAAATCACTAAACTTGCACATAGATATTCTGTGCTTTTTGAAAACCGAAATATAGTTTGTGGTGAGGGGAAAAAAATCTAAAGCACATAAAAGTTCGTTTTAAAATTCCTTATTTTGATGGTAACTCTCTACTTAGCTTTTTACTTTTCAGTGGCTTTCAAATTTCCTGCTATCTAGGATTTCTATCCACAACCGTTTCTCTGCAGTTTGCAAAGGATTTAAAATATGTTACCAGTTTACAAAAACAGCCCAATCTACTAGAAGTAAATAGAGAGTATGTTTTAAAGCAGGGGTCTCCAACCTTGGCAACTTTAAGACTTGTGGACTTCAACTCCCAGAATTCCTCAGCCAGCAAAGCTGAAGTCCACAAGTCTTAAAGTTGCCAAGGTTGGAGACCCCTGTTTTAAAGGGTGGGGGGAAGACGATGAAGGGGAGAAGGGAAAAACTTTGCATTCACAGAAGCTATTCTACCATCACCAATCTTTTCATTGAAAAATTGCTGAATCTTCTAGGGAAGCCCTGACATTCTCAAAACCCAAGATGGAGCGGACTGCTCTACAAGCATACATAGAGGCACACTTAATGAGTACGAAATGTCATCATACAGTCATTCATCTCTTCTTAATGACTCAATTTTGGCTTTATTCAAAGCAATCGATGTTGTTTCCCTTGCAACATATGTTTTAGTTGAAGCAAATATTCTGACTTTTATTCTTCGGAGCCCTATTATTGTATTTGATCATAGCATTGACTTTGCCCCATATCTGAACTTCAGGTCATCTGCAGAAGAGTTCATATGTTCTCCTAGTTAGCTCCCAGTGCTGACAACATGTTGTAGAGTTGGACTCGAGTAGTTCCACTTTTGTTGTTGTTGTTGTTGTTCTTGCCAATGACAGAAAAGAATTTATGCTACCAATCCAAGTCTTGTAATCTTGGCAAAAAGGAATGAATGAATGATGAATACAATCGGCTTTGGGCAGGAATGAAGGTCCAGTTGCTGAAATCAGAACACAAATAGACAAGGAATTACTGCGTGTGGTTAATTCTGGACTGGGTCCAGAATTTGTTGCCCAAGCCACCGAATATTTTAGTTGAAAATGTAGCATTATTTCTCAGCACTGTGACTGAAGCTTTGGCAAATACAGTGATATCTCGGTACTCGACTGCTTCAAAACTCATTGAATTTGGTTCTTGACGCATTTTGATGTGAAAATGTCCCGGTACTCGGCCTATGTTTAATACCGTGTTTTCCCAAAAATAAGCCCTCCCCAGATAATAAGCCCTCCCCTGAAAGTAAACCCTTCCCCAAAATAAGCCCTCTCCCAAAAATATTTAACCGCGTGTGTAGCCAGTCCCTGCCATTTCCTTTAGTTAGGGTTAGGGAGACAGAGCTGGAAATCAGGTAAGATGGCAAGCGGAGCCCCGTCTTGCTCCACACGCCCCAAAATAATAAGACCTCCTCGAAAATAAGGCCAAGCGTTTATTTCAGGGTTCAAAAAAAATATAAGACAGGGTCTTATTTTCAGGGAAACACGGTACTTGATGTGCTGTTCTAGGAAGAGGGGGACAGCTGTGGGGAACAGACAGAAAGTCAGCCATACTGGGAAGGTTGCTTCAAAAGGAGGAGGATGGCCACGGACGGACAGGAAGTTGGCCATGTTCGGAAGGTCGATGAGATAGGAAAAGGGACAGACAGAAAGTTCTTCCCGGCCAAAACAAAGGCTCACATGATAAGTGACATGGTTTGTTTGGCACTCGTCCGTTTTAGTTCCTGTCACACCTTCCAGAATGAATTAAAACCAAGTCCCGAGGTACCACTGAACCAGCATTTTGAAGCTCCAATAGATTATTTAATGGAATAATTCAGGCATGTTACATCAGAAATGATTTTAAAAGACAGAAAGAAGAGTCAAAACAATCACCAGATAAGTGGGCCTTGAGCCCTGGTCCAAGAAAATAACTTGAAAAAAAGTGTCTCAAACAAGCCCCTCCCTAGATAAAGGAGATAGCACATTCAAACTTGCAAAATTCAATTACTATATCCGTTTCAGGAAAAGTAATCCTGGCCTTGGGACAGGATCTAAGTCTGCTCATCTTGGAGGGCTGACATGGTTACCATTGTAATTCTACCACAACTGTATTTATAGAACTACATTACGAAATCAGGAGATGAGGGAGAGGCAAGTCTAGCACTTGATTCCCTATCCAGATAATTGACCTGCTTGCTGATGGGGACAGTGAGGAACAGGCTGTCTATCCAAAATCCAATTGAGAGATCATGAAAAGAAATAATTTTATATTCAGTTCTAGATGTGAATTTAAGGAACAGGAAAATGTATTCCTGTCTGCGTGGAGGGTTTCCATATGTGAAATGCCCTTCACCCAGTGGTGGGATTCAAATAATTTAACAACTGGTTCTCAGCCCTAATGACTGGCTGGGTGGGCGTGGCTATGGTGGGCGTGGCCAGAGGGTGTGACAGGCAGCACTTGGCCTCCTGCACCCCACTGGGAGCAAAAACGGGTCGTGGGGGGAACGCTCCCCCCGTGCCCCATTTTGGGCCTAGTAGGCCTTCCTGAAGCCTCCTGGGAGCCCAAATGGGGCGCGTGGGGACTCCTGGAAGGGGAGGGGCGGGGCCAGCCAGCAATTTAACTACCAGTTTGCTTGAACCAGCTCAAACCAGCTGAATACCATCACTGCCTTCACCGAAAGAAAATGTCCTCTTGGAAGGAGGCAGGACTGCAAAATATGATCCAAGGAGTAGATGATGCTCATCAACCTTTTCTAAGCTTTTCCATAGAGTGCCTCCAGATGAGTAGGTTCTTCATTATCCCCATCAAGAGTCAGACTCTCTCTCTCTCTCTCTCTCTCTCTCTTTTTGTAGTTATGAAGTTGTCAACCCTGAAGCTGACCTGGCCGAAGCCAACTTGGAGCTTCAGTGCTGCCACTCTGCAGCGAGGGATAGGGAGGGGGGGATTAGAGATAGCTGGGGTTGTAGTCGAAATAAAATACTTTCTCTTGGGAACCAAAGACGTTCTCACACCTGGCCGGAGGAAGGAGGAGTGATGTCACCAGACCAGCGGACGCTGCCTTGATTGGGCCATGTGACTGATTGTTTGGGGCTGAGGGAAAAACTTTTACTAATTAGGTGAAAACCAAGGGACCTCTCAAGAGTTAGTTTTCACTGGATATGTGCCAATATGATATTTCCAATAAAGCTATTCTTTGAGAAATCCACCTGCCTTGGAGTTTTTGCTTGTAATGGATCTATTATTTGGAACCCTGACAGAAGTTTTCTATGGAATGGAGAAAATTCTTCTTTTGTTTTATAATGCAGAAAATTTGTTGTTGTTTTTAGTTGTGAAGTCGTGTCCGACCCATCGCGACCCCATGGACAATGTTCCTCCAGGCCTTCCTGTCCTCTACCATCCTCTGGAGTCCACTTAAGCTCACGCCGACTGCTTCAGTGACTCCATCCAGCCACTTCATTCTCTGTCGTCCCCTTCTTCTTTTGCCCTCAATCTTTCCGAGCATTAGGCTCTTCTCCAGTGAGTCCTTCCTTCTCATTAGTTGGCCAAAGTATTTGAGTTTCATCTTCAGGATCTGGCCTTCTAAAGAGCAGTCAGGGTTGATCTCCTCTAGGACTGACCGGTTTGATCATCTTGCAGTCCAAGGGACTCACAGGAGTCTTCTCCAGCACCATAGTTCAAAGGCCTCAATTCTTTGGCACTCAGCCTTTCTCATGGTCCAACTTTCACAGCCATTGCAACTGGGAAAAACCAGTTTACAATGCAGAGAATATCCATGGGTAATAATGTTAACCATGCAAGGAACAATTCATTAATGACTAGTAATGCTGACATGAAATGTGCTTTTCCTGCTAATCTGTGGGGATCGTGTTTTCTAATAACCAGATGCTACAAATGATAACAACCTTCACCTCCAGCTATGTTGAAAAACAACCCAACACACTTACAATTTCACCTTCCTTTCCTCCAAAGTCCAAATAGAGCATCCGAATCCCATCGTCTGAAGACGATTTTAGCTTCTCGTAGGGATACTGGAAGACGGTTTTGGGAAAGGCACCAACTTGGGGTTCGGTGGTGAGGGAAAATCCATGGTCATAATGGATGGTCAAACGGCACTCCTGGTTTTTGTACGTGCAAGCTGAAGAAGGAAACAAGAACAAAACAGGATTTATGGCACTTTAGAAGAGTGATATTGCTAATAAAAGATTATGAGGCCACTCCGATGCTGGCAGTAGCTTGGGGATTAATAGGAATGCTAATGAGTTCCCTGCTAATTGGAAAGAAGTTCCAATGATTGTAACAATGAGGTTAATATAGCACAAAGGTTTCAGCACAGCTGACCATGCACCATTAAAACGTGGTACGATCCATAGTGTAATACCAATTGCTGTCTGTGTTTAATTAAAAAGGGAGTTGGGTATTTTATAACATCCCTGAATCAGGTTTATCAGCCTTGGGGAAAATACTACAGTCAAGGACATGAAGTAAAGTGTAAACTTTCAGTGAATAAGAGACGTTTAGCCATTGGTCTTGCTTTTCAAAATTTCTGGATGCTAAGACTCCTCTTGTGATAGCCAAGGATTTACTGATAAAACATTACATTTATATCCCGCCTTTCCTTAATATGGGGAGTCAGTATTCTTGTCTTCATTTACCCTATGTCATCTCAAAAGGACCAATTTGTGAGACGGCTGAGACAGGGCTGAAATCCAGCAGGTTCTGATAGGTTCTGGAGAACCGGTAGCGGAAATTTTGAGTAGTTCGGAGAACCGGCAAATACCACCTCTGGCTGGTCCCAGAGTGGGGTGGAAATGGAGATTTTTGCAATATCCTTCCCCCAGGAGTGGGGTGGGAATGGAGATTTTGCAGTATCCTTCCCCTGCCACACCCACCAAGCCACGCCCACCAAGCCACAGAAGCGGTAGTAAAAAAAATTGAATTTCATCACTGGGCTGAGATACTGACTGCCTCAAACCAATTTATAAGCTCTATAATGAAGTGTCAGGTTTAGCACTTCGTGTCACAGATGGAAGTTCAATCCACCCTACGGAACTCCCTCTCGACTCTTTTTCTGGCCTTGAACCTATAAGACTCACCTTGGTTTTCTGACCAGGCCACTGCAGGGACTAGGATTAGGCCAATTGCTCTGCTCCCAATTTCTCCTCAATGTCCATCTCTTATCAGGCTGCCTGAATTGTTTTAATCTCCAGAAAAACTGTTGTTGACATTAGTCTTTTCTCCTCTCTCCCTCCTTCTTCTTTAGATCTTTTAAAGTGCGCAAATGTTGAGACCAGACCATTGATCAAAGGATTTAAACAAAACAACAGTCCAGGCTAGCAAAGATCTGCCATTTAGTATGAGCAACAGATGTTGGATGGAGTTGATTTGGCTCTCTAGCCAATCACTCCAAACTGTAAAAAAATCCTTTCAACACAATCTAGTTTATTGACATGGTCTCTGTTTTGCTACTGGCAGAAGCCAGGGAGGTCCACCAAGATTTGAGACTCTAGAAAGAGTGCAGAGAAAAACAACGAAGATGATTAGGGGACTGGAGGCTAAAACATATGAAGAACGGTTGCTGGAACTGGGTATGTCTAGTTTGATGAAAAGAAGGACTAAGGGTGACATGATAGCAGTGTTCCAGTATCTCAGGGGCTGCCAGAAAGAAGAGGGAGTCAAGCTATTCTCCAAAGCACCCAAGGGCAGGACAAGAAGCAACAGGTGGAAACTAATCAAGGAGAGAAGCAACTTAGAACTAAGGAGAAATTTCCTGACAGTTAGAACAATTAATCAATGGAACAACTTGCCTCCAGAAGTTGTGAATGTTCCAACACTGGAAGTTTTTAAGAAGATGTTGGATAACCATTTGTCTGAAGATATAGGATTTCCTGCCTAAGCAGGGGGTTGGACTAGAAGACCTCCAAGGTCCCTTCCAACTCTGCTATTCTATTCTATTCCATGCTATGCTATTCCATGCTATGCTATTCCATGCTATGCTATTCCATGCTATGCTATTCCATGCTATGCTATGCTATGCTATGCTATGCTATGCTATGCTATTCTATTCTATTCTATTTTATTCTATTCTTATTTCTCCTGTTCTGGGAGAACTTGATTGCCAAGCAGCCTCTCTGCTGTTGATTTACCTGTTGTGACTTCTACGGAGAGTTCAGCTGCGTTGTGGCAACCTTGGACTAGGCTCCTGGTCCACAGTGAAAGGTCTCGGCTAGTCTCGGTTTTGAAAAGGTGGCTCTCAATCCCTTGTTGCGTGCCCGTTCGAGTGGCAAACGACAAATCTACCCCAGACTGTGGAGAGCCCTTCCCAGGTCCTGAATGTACCAACCTGAAAACAAATTTAAGAATCAACACATGTTGTTAGGGAAACAATTTTAGTGGGAGAAAGCGGAAGAAAGACAGTTTCACTGGGGATCCCATATATGTCTGCCATTTGTTCACTTGCATTTATGGGAAATTTTTCCTTGTGACTAATCAAAATCTTTTCCCTAAAATTTTAATCCTAACAGCTCTTTCTCCTCCCATCTCTCCTTCCCTTCCCCCATGCTGCTCTTGGGCCGCTTTTTTTCCCCTCAGTGATGCCCGCGACGGGCTCGAGGCAGAGGCCATGGCCCCTTTTTCCGTTCCCGTCTCTCAGCCGGCTTCTCTCGGCCTCCCTTCCCACCGCTGCCGCCATGCAGGAGCTGATCGCCAAGTTCGACTTGGAAATCGCGGTGGAGCAACAGCTGAGCACCCAGCTGCTGTCCTTCCCGGGCATGGACAAGTCCGGTGCTGCCGTCTGTGATTTTTTTTTTAAGCAGCATGTGGGAAAGAGGGGATATGTCTGTTCCGGCACATCAGTGGTGAAAAGACAGTGGTTTGTAAACACGGGTTACGAGGCCTGTGCAAAAAAGGGGACCAGTGTGAATTCTTGCATGAGTTATGAAATGACCAAGATGCCAGAATCCTAATAAAAAGCAACATTTCCTTCCTTCCTTCCTTCCTTCCTTCCTTCCTTCCTTCCCTTCCTTCCTTCCTATTTTTATAATACATAAACCTTCAATCATACTTCATGTCTGATGGGTATTATTGTCCTAGCTAGAAAAAAAGAAGCTTCTAGGGAAAACAAGAGCCCCATCCCATTTTGCAATATATTACCTTGTTTACTAAGGGTCCCCCCCCCCAAAGAATCATGTCAAAGAGGCAACTAGGAAGATGTATCTGTAACAGCTTGGTAGCCAATGTAGTTTAAACATTTTTTTATGCATTCCAAGGATCCAAAAGATTTGCTGCACATAGGTTGAACACAGTGGTGAAATGTAAAATTTGTTACTACCGGTTCTGTGGGCGTGGCTTGGTGGGAGTGTAATGTGACTGGGTGGGCGTGGCCAACTTTTTTCTTCTTTTTTTACTTCTAAAAGCATTTTTTCTACAACCTCTTCGTCCGAAGAGGTTGTAGAAAAAATGCTTTTAAAAGGCTCTGACCATCCCAGCTGAGCCGTGCGATCATCAGGGGCTTTTTTTTTTTTTTTACTTTTAAAAGCATTTTTTCGGCAGAAGAGGTTGTAGAAAAAATGCTTTTAAAAATTAAAAAAAAGCTTCTGATGATCCTGCGGCTCAGCTGGGCATGGGGGGGGGAGGAGGGATTTTTGCTACCGGTTCTCCGAACCACCCGCCGCCATCGCTACCGGATCGGGTGATCTGGTCCGAACCGGGAGCATTTCAACTCTGGTTGAACAGCATCAGGAAAAAAACCTGAGCATTTATTAACCTGTACAGATCAAGGTATCAGAGGCCATTTCAAGGTAACTGAACAAAGGATGCAGAGTACAGAGAAAAGAGAAGGGTTGGATGAGGGAGCTGATGAGAGCTTTCACCCACAAAGTTCTCCCAGCTGGAGAAGATTTGCCAGGTCAAAGGAACCTTTTAATGGACTGCGATGTGCATTTAAGAGCCAGCATGCTTTAGCAGGTCACAGTAGGTGGCAGTATCTGGCCATCTTTTCCTGCCTGGCTGTCATATAGGGTCAAACTTGGTTGTTGGTACATAGTTATTTATTAAGTGCATTTGATTTATACCTGCCTTTCTGCTCTGGCAAATACGCAAAGCATCCAATAACCGAATATAACAAGTTTAAAAATTCCACACTAACAAGGGCGTAAACAACATTTGTTGAGAATGAGGCATCTTCGCAGAGTTCCTACAAACAAATGGGGGTGGGGAGGTGGAATAAATATATTCCGTTGTCTAGGAGCAATGTCTGAGAACCCCCATCCAATGGGCCAGAAAGTAGGATCTATAACAATGGGACATCTTCAGAATGATTGACCAAAACCACTGGTCTGTTTTGTAACAGGACAGGCAGTCTCTTTGAGACTTTAAAGGATAACGCCAGCACCTTACATTTTGCCAGTAACCAACAACCAATCAGTACAGATCGTTTAAAACAAGCATTATACTAAACCTGTACTTGGAAAGTAGCCTAGCTCTTATCTTTGACCTCAACGTCGATTTCCAGATTCTTTTTTTTTTCTCAAGGACAGCCCAATCGGACTTGTACCGTTGTCACGATAAACTGTCATCAAAGCATGGATAATCACTGGTAGGGGTGGCCAACTCAGGAAGAGTAGCTGTTGGTCTATTACAGTGGTGAGTTGCTACCAGTTCGCCCCGGATCGGACGAACCGGTAGAAGCGGCGGCGAGAGGCTCCGCCCACCCGCCCGGACATTTCTGTGCATGCACGCACACAAGCGAACCGGTAGCAAACTAAATTGAAACCCACTACTGGTCTATTAGTCATACTGGGCAAATATATACCACACATTTCTTCCCCTACCACTTTCCAAGAAAAAGTCTTCTATCGTACGTAGTGGGGAGGCCAAAGTATAGGCTGGGCTGGAACGCTGGAAAGATATCTTTAGAAGAGGCAATGGAAAACCTTTTCTGTATTGGTGCTAAAAAAAAAAAAATAGGAACATGTCTACAAAGTTACCAGGAACCAAGCTAAAGATCACCATCTGGATTCATGTCAATCTTGATTCCTGGCAACTGCCTAGACCAGCGGTATCGAACTCAAGGCCTGCGGGGCGAATCCATCCCGCGGGGTGCTTAGATCTGTCCCACAGGGCTGCCCTAGAAACAGCAAAAGACTGGATAGAGGTTCCTTTGCCAGTGAAAGCATGCGCAGCCTCCCGGGCTCTGTTTTCGCTGGTAGAGGGTTACAGGAGGCCGTCGTGGCCGAAAACAGAGCCTAGGTGGGCTGTGTGTGCCCCCCCAGCTGAGTTTTCGCTGGCAGAGGGCTGCAGGAGGCCGTCGTGGCCGAAAACAGAACCTAGGTGGGCTGTGTGTGCCCCCCCAGCTCAGTTTTCGCTGGCAGAGGGCTGCAGGAGGCCGTCGCAACTGAAAACAGAGCCTCAACGAATGACATCAAACTGGCCATGCCCCCCCCGCCCCCCCCCCCCCCCCCCCGAGGTCAAAGACAACCCTGATGCAGCCCTCAATGAAATCGAGTTTGGCACCCCTGGCCGAGACAAGTCCCTGCAGCTTTCTTGACAACATTTTGGAAGTGGTTTGCCATTGTTTTCTTCCTACGACCGAGAGAAAGTGACTGGCCCAAAGCTAGTTTCATGCCTAAGGCAAGAAAAGTCAGGGAATTGCACAGCAGCTGTTCACAAGGAGTCAGAGACACCGACACAAACTTGTAGTTTTATATAAATAAGTACATCTATTTTTTGCTGTAAATCATAACGTTTATATTTACAGCAGACAAGATAGTCAGTACCAGTGGTGGGTTGCTCTCGGTTCGGCCCGGTTCGGGCGAGCCGGTAGTGGTGATGTGTGATGTCAGTGAACCGGTTCTCTATGACTGTGAGCTGGGCCCTCCCACCTGCCCCCGTGTTATACCTACATTTATTTGTCGTTTTTTAGCCCAGCTTATAGGCGCGGCAGAGTGGATTGCTGCGCCTCAGCTGGGCAGAAATCTAATGCATTTGCGTGGAGTGCAAGGTCGGCGCACGTGTGAACGAAACGAGCATGCGCGCGGCAATCACACGGAAAGTGCGTGCGCAAAGACAAGCGATGGTAACACCAGTTGGAACCCACCACTGGTCAGTACATCATGAGGTATACACACTGAAGAAAAAAGTGTGTGTGTGTGTGTGAGGGAAACACTTAGATGCCCAGCCTTTGATTCTATGGGAAAAGATTTGTGAATCAAATCATATGTGTAAAAATGGACATAAAACAGGACTTGGAAAATCTATGTAGGTTACAGGTAGTCCTCAACTAACAACCATTTGTTTAGTGGCTGTTCAAAGTCACAACAGCTCTGGAAAAAGTGAATTATGGCAGGTTTTCACATTTTCAATCGTTGTAGCATTCCCATGGTCATGTGATCAAAATTCAGGCACATGGCAACTGACATGTATTTATGCCAGTTGCACCATTCTGGGGTCATGTGATCAGCATTTCTAACCTTCCCAAGCTGGTTTCCAACAAGCAAAGTCAAAGCGAGATTTGAGGGGGGGGGAGGAGAAGCGAGATTTGTTTAACAACTGCATGATTCACTTAACAACTGTGGTTGTTAAGTCGTTAAACCTTAACAACTGTGGCAAAAAAGGATTGTACAATGGGGCAAAACTCATTTAACAACTGCCTTGTTTAGCAGCAAAAAACGTAGGCTCACTTGCGATCCTGAGTCGAGGACCAGCTGTATCTAAAATAGCTGAAAATTGGAATTCTGATCTAACTGATTATGACAATACACAGCATGCTGGCGGGATGAATTTTTCAAAGACGAAACTGCATCTCGCGATGTATATTTCCAGTTCCCCTGACTTCAGACAGGTGCGTGCTTGTGGCAACTTAGTTGTTCTTTTCTAAGTAGTTGTCCTAAGATAACCTTCCTGGTCTATAGAAATAGGGAACTGGATACCACAGACATTTCGCTCGCCTGTGGGGGCTGCTCAGAGGTTGCAAAGTTTCTCAGGTTTCCTGTGCGGTTTCCAGAACAAAACAAATACAGGGTCAGGCAAAGTTTGTCTGACAGGTACTGGGAATCCAAGATAATAAAAACTGCAGTCCAATTAAGCGTACATTAGGATTGGGGGGTCAGAGTTTCAGCGGATTCCATGGTTTCAAGCCAACGAGCTTTAAACCCAAAATCGTGTGTAGAAACCATGATGGCTGGATTTTTTTTTCCTGCAGTAATTAAGTTTCTCACTCTTGTATCATCAGAATATTAGGTTGGGACCCTGGCCCTTCAACAAGTCATTCATCTCCATTTGTTCTCCTCAACTTTTCCCTAATGACAGCTCAACAGTTAACACTACATGGGCCAGCTTTGGCTGGTAACATGAGGAACGTCTCTTCAGAGAAGGAAGGAGACAGAAGAAGAGGGAAGGAGAGAGGGGAAAGGAGAGAGGGAAGTGGATGGGAGGAGAGGAGTAGGAGAAAGGGAAGGAGAGGGAAGTGGAGAAGAAGGGAGAGGAGAAGGGAGAGGAGGAGAGAAAAAGGGAGGAGAGGAAAGGGAAGGAGAGGGGAGAGGAGTAGGAGAAAGGGAAGGAGAGGGAAGTGGAGAAGAAGAGAGAGGAGAAGGGAGAGGAGGAGAGAAAAAGGGAGGAGAGGGAAGGGAAGGAGAGGGGAGAGGAGGAGAAAGGGAAGGAGAGGGAAGTGGAGAAGAAGAGAGAGGAGAAGGGAGAGGAGGAGAGAAAAAGGGAGGAGAGGGAAGGGAAGGAGAGGGGAGAGGAGAAGGAGAGAGGGAAGGAGAGGGAAGTGGAGGGGAGGAGAGGAGAAGGAAAAAGGGAAGGAGAGAGAAGTGGAGGGGAGAAGGGAAGAGAGGGAAGGAGAAGGAAGAGACGTAAAGAGATGGACCGTTGTTGTAAAATTGGGTGGAATATGGTGTATATGAGAAAGGAAAACAGACGGATCATATTTTTTTCTTACTTGATGATTATATAATTGATATAACAATGGAAGATAATACATGTTATAATATGATGAATGTTATCGTATACAGTATTTGTTTATATGTTACTGTATATTTGTTTATATACATATGATTATGACGATGACGATGACCGTTTGTTCGTATGTTAAAACCTTGGACACCTAGAGAGCACACTCAAGATATAAAAGAAATGTATGATATAAAACAATAAAAAATATTACAACAGAGAATTTAACTTCTGCGGTGTTCAGGAGAAGCTAATCAAATGCATGAAGCTTCCATTGATTGTCCATACTTTATTGTAGGGGTCTCCAAACTTGGTAACTTTTAAGACTTGTGGACTTCAACTCCTAGAATTCCCAAGCCAGAATTATGGGAATTGAAGCCCACAAGTCTTAACGTTGTCAAGTTTGGAGATGTCCTGCTCTAAAGTGTGCTGTGGGCCCATCATATTTCTCCAATGAGGTTCAGAGATGTTTCCTCAAGACTATCATCTCAAATCACTGCTTTTGACTCATCCCTTGAGATCATCAAGTAAGATGACCTCAAGGGTGATCCAATGATAAACTGGTGTTCTACACCCCTCCCGTCAGAGGCCTTGCTATGTAAATGCTTTCTGGTGCATCAGCAGCTTCCAAGTTTCAGTAGCACAATTCTGTGTAGCTTCTCAGATTGCCAGATTGAGAGGGTTATATAGCTATGAATTATGAAAACTATCCATTGAAGACAATACACAGGACAAGGGGCTAAATATGTGTCTTGTAACAGATCTCCTGAATTTGGATGCATGGATGGATGGATGGGAAGAACCTTTGATGTGGAAAGTACTGCGGATAATCCTTGACTATCTGTAGTACTTATTTATTTTATTTTATTATTTATTTATTATTTAAATTTTTATACCGCCCTTCTCCCGAGGGACTCAGGGCGGTGCATAGCCACAATAAAACACATATATCCATAAAATTTAAAAACAGTTTAAAACAAATTAAATAATTTAGCCCTTATATTAAAAAAACTAAAACACCCATTAAAATTCGTTATTTAAGCCAGCCCAGCCTGTTGAAACAGTAAAGTCTTAAGGGCGAAAGGTACGTAGGTCAGGAATCATACGTATCTCCGGGGGCAATTCATTCCAGAGGGCAGGTGTCCCCACAGAGAAGGCTCTCCTCCTGGGGGTCGCCAGTCGACATTGTTTGACTGACGGCACCCTGAGGAGTCCCTCTCTGTGGGAGCGTATTGGCCGGTGGGAGGCTATTGGTGGCAGAAGGCGATCTCGTAACTACCCAGGTCCTAAGCCATAGTCCCTAATGGATTTATAGTCCCTAATGGAACCTGGCAATTTTAGGATCTTTTTTCCCAGTGGTTGTTAAGCGAACCCATTGTTCTCTACAGCAGGGGTCCCCAACCTTGGCAACTTTAAGACTTGTGGACTTCAACTCCCAGAGTTCCTCAGCCAGCAAAGCTTTGAAACATTGTAAATCACAGTCACATGACTGCAGGGTGCTGCAAACCATCATAAATGTGGGCTGATTGATGAGCACCCAAATGTGGTCACATGACAGTGGGGTAGGGATGTGAGAGTAGATGTCGGAACTTCGGAACATACCATATTTTTCGGAGTATAAGACGCACCTTTTCCCCCCAATAAAGAGGGTGAAAATCTGGATGTGTCTTATACTCTGAACGTAGCCCCACCCAGCCTCTCAAACGGAAGTTTCATTTCAGAGGCTGAAAAAAGCCTCAGAAATGAAGCTTCAGAAAAAAAGCCTCTGTTTCAGAGGCTTTTTTTCGAAAGCTCTGTTTCGGAAGCTTTTTTTCGAAAGCTCTGTTTCGGAAGCTTTCAGAGGCAGAAAAAAAAAGTTTTTTCTGAAACGGAGTTTCAGAGGCTGAAAAAAAAGCAAGGCACAGAGCTCAGAACCAAGGAACCCGTTGCTAAAATTCACCTCTGGGAACAGCTGATTGGGGGTATTCCGGGAGGCCGATCCACCTGCCACTCAGCTTTTTTCTTATTTTCCTGCCCAAAAACTAAGGTGCGCCTTATACTCCGGTGCGTCGTATACTCTGAAAAATATGGTAGTTAGTTTTTGTGGATAAATGTCTATGGAGATTCTCAATCATCCAGGACCCGGTTGTTCCAAAGAGGCTTGTTCCAAAAGGCAACTAGATTTTCCTGGGGTTTTTTTTGTTTGAAAACATTTCACTTCTCAACTGAAGAATTGAAGAACCTTCTTGGATGAGAAGCGAAATGTTTTCAAACAATAAACCGAGAAAGTTCAGTTGCCTTTTAGAAAAAGCACCTTTGGGATAATTTTTGTGGGCTCCATTGTAACTTTGAATGGCCACTGAGCAATCGGTCCCAAGTTGAGGACTACCTACATAAAAACCCATTAATATAATAATACTACACTATTTCCTATTATGGGAACACATAATTTATTTCTCACCTCTCTCTCTTTCCAGTTATTTTTCATCTTGTACCTTTTTAATCGTAGCTAGAGGGGAGAATCTGTTTTATTACAAATCTGCATAAGCCCCTCTGGCTAAAATGGGAGTGAAAAACATGGGAAATAAGTAATTTAAACGGAGGTAGCTGCTAGCCAAGAGAGAACTTAAAAATGAGGTATCTCTTTATATATTCTGGACTAGAAAAAGGAAAGTGTCTGGCATCCATCAGAGAGCTTAAAAATGTGATCTCTCTCTCTCTCTCCCGGTAAAGGTTCCCCTGGTACATATGTGCTAGTCGTTCCTAACTCTAGGGGGCGGTGCTCATCTCTGTTTCAAAGCTGGAGAGCCAGCGCTGTCGAAGGACGTCTGCATGGTCATGTGGCCGGCATGACTAAACGCCAAAGGCGCATAGAATGCTGTTACCTTCCCACCAAAGGTGGTCCCTATTTCTCTACTTGCATTTTTTATGTGCTTTCGAACTCCTAGGTTGGCAGAAGCTGGGACGAGTAACAGGAGCTCACCCCGTTACACGGCACTCGGGATTCAAACAGCTGAACTGCCGACCTTTCGATTGACAAGCTCAGTGTCTTAGCCACTGAACCATCGTGTCTCTATATATATTCTGGTCTAAAGCAAAGAACATACCTGGTAGCTAAGAGAGGGTAGGAATGCAGTGGAGTAAACCAAGCTTCCTTGATGCGTGGCATGCTTTCAAATATCAAGAGATCCTTCTCTGTCAAGGCAACCAATACAGCTTTCCCAGGTTTCTCATTCTCTCCCAGCACCTGGACAAAACAAATCAAGATTTCCAATGAAAGAGGCGCAAGGAAAAAATTCAGGAGAACGCTGCTTTTCCCATGGCAAAATACCACAACACCCAAAACCTGAGATCAGCCCCGCTGAGTCATAGCAAGGCCCACCTTCGTTCAAACTTTGTTGCCCACAGTAAGCCAACAAAACGTTCTTGGCCTGGGGATAAATGTTTTTAAAGCAGGAAACTGAGACACGGAACATTTCTCCGCTGCTGATTTATGACCTCTGTACAACGTCTTCCAGCTATCATTGAGATGATGTAAAGCTTGTCCTCCTTACTGCTATTTTGGCTCAGCCATGGTTGAATGACATTAGAAGATGCTATGAGTCAGTGGTGTGAAATGAATACTGTATATCTTCCCCCCTGGTGTTCCCTGGAATTTGGAGGCAAGCCTTCCTCAATCGGCAGAAAATATTGAGTCTTCCAGATTGAACAGACAGGCCTGTCTTTCATGAATTCATCCAATCCTTTTTTTTTTTTTTTTTTGTAGCCATCCTGACAGTTTCACTGTGCAAAAAGTGCTTCCCCCTCCCCCCGATTGTATAAGTTTTATTAATGTTACCTGGTAGGTTTTCTTTTATAAATCATTGTCCCTTCCCTGCTGACTGCCTTTGTCGGCCAATCCACCTTTGAGGATAGCAAAAAGACCCAAATTTTCCTTCTCTCGAAGTGACCTTTCCCAATTCTCTCCTGCCTCCTTGCTGGTCCTGAGGCGAGGGATTTCTTGAGAAACTTTAGTTTGTCCCCAAATCAAGAGTCGACTATCGTGCAGGCAAGTGCTAGGACGTATAGCTTGTGGCTTCTCACAGTTCCTCAGGGATTCATCTTGTATTTATTTCTAAAAGCACTTCATCCTGTCTTCCATTCAGCTTTATAAGTTCTCCTCCCAGAAGTTCACAATAATATAGAAGACATACCGTATTTTTTGGAGTATAAGACGCATTGGAGTATAAGATGCACCAGAGTATAAAAGACGCACATTAGTTTTTGGGGAGGAAAACAAGAAAAACAAAATTCTGCCTCTGCCTACCAGCATCCACTGGTATTCATCTCCCTAGTGTCCTTGCAGCAAATAGCAAACAGCCTGGTTAGCTTCAGCACATTATCACAGCCTGATTCAGCACGAGCAGCTGATTGGCCTCCCGGAATACCCCCAATCAGCTGTTCCAGGCTGCAGAGATTGCCACGGACCATCACCACCTCCGTGCCTCTTGTTTTTGGCCTCTGTGCCTCATGTTTTTGGCCTCACTCTGCGCTTTGCGTTTGGAGGCCAAAAACGCGAGGCACGGAGGTGGCGATGTGCTGGGGCGATCCCCGCAGCCTGGAACAGGTCTAAAACAGCGTGAGGAGGCCGAAAACGCGGTGTGCGGAGACCGAAGGGTGGGGGCTGGTGGATGGGCGGGGCTACATTCAGTGTATAAGACGCACCCAAATTTTCACCCTCTTTTAGGGGGGAAAAGATACGTTTTATACTCTGAAAAGTATGGTAATACTTTAAAACAACAACAACTCTGAAACAAAGGTAGTTATATCTTTTTGAAGGTGCATTTTCAATACAGTCTGTAGGAAGGGAAAATCAGAAATCAGAAAATTTCATTAGATTGCTTCCAAATGCCTTTTCAACTCTCTGGTTTTAAATGCAGTCAAATTAGCTTCCTGAGGAAGGATTTTGCAAAGGGGAGGCCATTACCAAGGAGGTCCTGAGATGTGTACCAAGGAGAATTGAACTGGTGTCCGCTTTAGTGATGGCAAGCAAAGAAGCTCTCTTGGGAGATTATGATCCTCACCTACTTATATATGGACTGTTTTATTCAGATTGGAAAGTTACCTGTTATTTATCAAAGGAGAAAAAAATCAATTAAAATGGTCCAATGTAATAATATTTTCATTGCTATTGAAGCAATGAAACACGACACGGGTTCCAGCAGGGGTGGGCTGCTGGGGGTTTGCAGGAGTTTGGGAGAACCTTTAGCTAAGATTCCGTGCAGTTCAGAGAAGTCCCAAATCCCACTCCTGGCTGGCCCCGCCCACCACAGCCCTCCCCTCCCTGGGAGGCCCCTCCCTCCCAGCCCTCCCCTCCTGCAGGTAAGTGCAGGACACGCATGGAGGCTTGGGGAGGGCGAAAAGCACGCCTACTGGAAAGTCGGGAAGGTGGGAAACAGACCCGTTTCTGGCCTCCAGAGGGCCTCTGGGGCCCAGGGAGGCAGTTTTCGCCCTCCCGGAGGCTCCAAGAAAGCCTACGTAGCCCGGGGAGGGCAAAAATGCCCCCCCGCCATGGTGCAGGAAGCCAAGTAGGCCACTCCCACCATGGCCACACCCACCCAGCAACCTGGCAGAGAACCCCTTGCTAAAATTTTTGAAGCCCACTCCTGGGTTCCAGGGTGTCTTTCCCAACGGGAAAGCCTCCCCCTCTCGTGCCAGTGAAAGAGGCCTGCCATGGATCCTGTCTGCTAAGGAATTCCAGCAGGCGGGTTCAAGGAGAAGAGCCTTTTCTGCTGTGGCCCCATTCCTGTGAAACATTCTTCCATCGGAGGTGAGAACTGTCCCCTCCCTTTTGGCCTTCTGGAAGGGTATCAAAGCCTGGCTTTCCTGTTGGCCTGGGTCCCCAAGTAGGGGGGGCGCTCACCACTGGAGGTGGCTGATGGGATAAGAAAACCTCATCCCTGTGCTATCCATCTCTTAGCTCTCTTAGTTTTGGTTTTACTAGAGTTTTCAACATTCAATCGGTGTACTACGGGAGATAGGAGGCATACCGTCTTTCCCTGAGAATAAGACCGGGTCTTATATTAATTTTTGCTCCAAAAGATGCATTGGGGCTTATTTTCTGGTTAGGTTTTATTTTTGGGGAAATAGGGTATTAAATGCACCCATCTGGCTGACGATCTTAACTGGGCCTTATTTGGGGGGGGGTAGGGCTTATATTACGAGCATCCTGAAAAATCATGCTAGGACTTATTTTCCAGTTGGGTCTTATTTTTAGGGAAACAGGGTAATAAATAAAACAATAAAATAAAATAATAAAAAATTAAATTAAATTAAACTGAATTAAATAATTAAATTAAATGGCTGGCTTTATTAAGTTAACAACACTGTTTAATGAAGATTTGGCTGAATGGCTTAAAAATGAATTGTTTACCATGAGGCTGACCGGTAATTAAATGGATTTTGGGGGGGGGGGGTTGCAAAACTATTCTTTATCATTAACAGAGAACAGCTATTTAAATTAGAGTCCCTGTTTAGTAAACAAATTATCTCTTATTGGCAAGCTCCAACAGGTTTTAGCAGGTATTCAAGCAGGTTGGAATTTAATTGAAGTGCTTTTAGGTTTCATAACGGGAGGCTGCTTTTCACGGAAAAAGTAATTTCTCCTTCCTCGTAGCCATTAACCCACTTCAAAAAGGATGTTTTAGATATACAGAATCGGAGTCAGAAAGAGCCACAGAGGCCATTAAGTCCAACCCCCCTGTTTAGTGCAGGAATTCAAATTAAAGCACTCCTGACTGATGGCTGCCTAGACTCTGCTTGAAGACATACAATGAAGATGGGGCTATTACAAGTGGTCCTCGACTTACGACCACAACAATGGAGTCCAAAAATTTCTTGTTGCTAAACGAGACGTCTGTTAAGTGACTTCTGCCTCATTTTACGACCTTAACAACCACAGCTGTTAAGTGAATCACTCCAGGTCTTGAGTTAGTAATGCGGTTGTTAAGTGAATCTGCTTTCCCCATTCACTTTTGCTTGTCACAAGGTTACAAAAAGTGATCACGTGGCCCCGGGACACTGCGACGGTCATAAATATGAATCAGTTGCCAAGCGTCTGAAGCAAAGGAAATCTCAGGGCAGAAGTGAAGCGCGTCAAATATATACCCAGTGGCCCAAGCCTTGCAAAATTTCCTTTGTAATCACTCAAAAGTCCATGAAAGCAAGGTAATTTCCACGGTTGACGCTGATTAGCAGAGGCAACCGTGAACACAGGATGTTGATACTTCCCACGCAGCAGGAAATGGACTATAATATATACCTTTGACCCTGGTGGCACGGAAGGAGGCAATACTGGGAGAATGATTGCAAAGAGGAAAATGAAAAGAAACTAAAGCCTAGGTTTTCATTTCTAATCTCTTCCTGATCCAAATATGCTCTACAAAGCCGTCCTATTTCACTATCAGATCTGGGCATTTGCCAAGGTATACAAAATCCACCAGAGCGCACAATACAAGCCGTTGTCGGTCCCTAATAAAAACAGTTGATGCCAGCGACAAAAGCAGTTGGAATTGGAAGGAAGAGGTTGCACAGCCTTGGCTCTAGTACCCTTTCTCTGCAAAGAGTTGACTGAAAGATTGAGGAGATGAATAGGAAGACCTGGTGAAGTTTGGCCCTGGGCTGTAAACCAAGCAATGTCCTAGGGACGCCGTTAAGTCATAGCCAAACCAAAATCCTTCCATATTGTGATTGTTCTGGCCACCACTAAAAAAAAAGGACAAGCAAGTTAATAGGAAGATGGAAAAACATACAATGAGGCCAGATTGGGGACTATTTTCACCCAAGAGATGATGCAAAAGACTGGAGATATTGTGTAAAAATATTGTGTTGTGCTTGGTATCTATGGCTGGCATTTACACATTCTAGTTTTGTGGAATGCTTTTTCATGACTGTGTGGGGTTAGTGCAAAGGCTGCACACACATTCGCAAGAAAAAGGGGAATGATAAGTAGGGTTTAAAATATTCCATCATGATTAAACCCTTTCACACAATTATCAGGGTTTGTTACAAAAAGGAATAAAGCGTTTGTCCAGTTCCTTGTCCTCAATGCTGTCATAGTTCACGATCTTTGATTAGTTCAGATCATGCAGTCAAAGAAGCATAGTAGACCATCATGTAGTTCAACCCCCAATTGGCCAAGAGCTTCATGATCCCATCAAACATATTTTGCAGGACTTTGATTTTGCTTTAGGGGGGAAAAAAACCCAC